TCTGAAATAACACTAACAAAAAGCTTGATTTAAGTCGTGATTTCTGGATTTTAGCATTGACATTTCATTATCTTAATTAAAATTATTTTTTCTTATGTTTTATGTGATTTTAAAATCAGGATCGTGTGTACATTTAAGTATAAAGTGCTTCATACAAAAAGTGATTCCGTTTACATTTTAAATCCTATCAAAATTTGAAAAAGAAACATTAAAATCTTAAATAACACGACACAGGAATAGTTCAATTTGATAGCGCGCTTTATATTTAACTATATAAGAAAATATGAAAAAAGTTGAGTTGTATTTTATGTATATGAATGACACAATTCTAGGGAATTTATTTACTTTTTTAATAACCAAGGCTACTTTTTTGTTTAGTTCAGTATTAAAAGCCTTATACTTCGACATTTTTAGAGTAGATTCGATAATTAGGTATGTCTTAATTTCTTAAGAATACGACGCTATCTTATCTGTATTTTATTAAAAAAAATTTTAAAAATTAAAAAAAAAACATATAAAATTCGGCTTGAATACCATTTCTATACAAGTAATATTTTCTATCCTTCTTTGATATATTATAATAACCACCAGTTTCTTTAGCTAATATGTACATATTTTGGTTAACTAGATTCTATTAAACTCTTTATACCACAATTGAGACGTCCGTTTAAGCCAACTAGGTTATACTTTCCTAAAATGTCTGACCTATCAAAGAATCGTACTGTATAAAGAATTTGTTATAGATAAAGAAAGGCAACAGTAGTATACCGCTGTTGAAAAGTCATAAATCGATTGAGAGAATACAAATCCGCGTTACAAACTAAAACCGAGGGAAACACATCAACTATAAGAGGAAAACAACGGAACAACAGAAATACTGAAGTGCAACAAAAACAAACGCCAACATACATAGAAACGAACTATTTGATAACAACTGCCATATTCCTGACTTGGTACAGGACATTTAAAGAAAAAAATGGTGGGGTGAACCTGTTTTGTTTTTTTTTTTTGGCTAGATGATGGAACACATTTTACATTTGAATTATGAGTTGAAAATGCTTCTGGTAAATGGGGCATTTAGACCGTGTTCCATCGCCAATTTCAACCTAATATTTACGTTCAGTCTATCTTATGTGTTAATACATTCGGTTGCCATGAGAGTCTCTGATAAGAAGTTATGAATACCATTATATTTTTAGATATACATGTAGAACATTAAAACGTTCCACGACAGGAATATCGTGAGTGACGTTGAGTTACAGTATAAAAATATTGACAAAAATACCAAACTACCAGGTAAATTGAAAAAGTGAGAAGCCCGTAAAATTTGACAAAGTAAAAACGTTAGACAATATGTATCAACCAACGGAAGGAATGGAAAATAACTGTCATGTTACTTAGTACAGTCATTTTTCCGAAGAGAACCTAGTTAAACCTTCAACTTGTATGCAGTTGCTTATATATATAGTTCCTTTAAATTGACAAACGGTAAAACTGGCGTTGGAAAACGCATCTTTTTCTAACTTCCTTAAAAGAAATTCCGTTTAAAAATCTGTTTTAAGGTTGTTATGTAGTTTGATTTCATTTGATGTAAGAACTACTCCTTTGAGTCCTTTTTAATGCATTTTCTAAGATAAATACCATTATGAGACATTGGTAAAGATTTAAGCTCATGACATTATAAAAACTTTGCGAAGACTTTCTTACTTTCTGAAATTCATGACAGTTTCATTGCACGAACTTGATAAACCAAGAGTTAACAGAACAGCTGTTTTGTTGTTATTAGAGGGATTGTAAGGAAGATTATTAAACGAAAATTAAAATGAAATATCGGCCCGATTTTGTAATTTATACATACATATCGTAGGTCTATAAGTATCATGTTCCACCTCAGTGGTCACGCTGTAGAGTACTCGTCTTGAGTGCTAGGAGGTCGTTAGTACGATCCTAGGTCGGCTCATCCGAAAAAATAGAAAATCGGTATGTGTTTCTTCTCGCGAGCTTCAGGAGTTCAAATTATATCTACAAGTAGGGTAACATGCATGTCTTCCTGTGGACTGTTACCTTGTGAACTAGTACGGTTTATTCCTGACTAAGCATGATGATGATCATCAAATAATTAATAAAGTTCAACAACGGAAAAGTTAATTGATAATTAGGGGGAAAATATTCAGCACTTGCCGTTAATTGCTGTGTGTCGTATTTCCTTTCTCGTTTATTGTTTTAACATAATTCAGGGTCATTAGTTTTTTCTTTTGAATCGTAGCACATTTTTTACTATCATGGTTTATTATAGCGAAAGTTGCGGGTTTGCTCTAAAATTGATTGTGTGATTGATTAATATTTGATATTTTCTTAATGTCCAGTGACAAATATTTTGTGCATGTTCAGGACTAGCTCCATGGTTGAAGGATGTACGGTGACCTATAGTTCAGGAAGTGGTAATTATGTAATCAAGGGAATTTATTTACTTTTTTAATAACCAAGGCTAGCTAGCTATTGTTTAGTTCGGTATTATAAATAGACGAAAAAGCCTTATAATTCGACATTTTTTCGAGTAGATTCAATAATTAGGTATGTCTTAATTTTTTAAGAATATGACGCTATCATATCTAAAACTTGTTAATATTTTTTTGGCAAATAAAAAAAAATGCAATTAGGATCGAATTCCATTCCTATACATGTTATGTTTTCTATTCTCCTTTGGTGTATGAAAAAAACCACCAGTTTCTTTAGCTAATATGTACATAGTTTGGTTAACTAGATTCTATTGAACTCTTAATACCACAATTGAGACGTCGGGACAAGCCAAATTGGTTATACTTTCCTTAGATATCTGACCTATCAAAGAATCGTACGTTATAAAGAACTTGTTATAGGTGATGGAACACTTTTTTCATTTGAGTTATGAGTTGAAAATGTTTCTTGTTAATGGGGCATTTAGACAGTGTTTCATCGCAAATTTCAACCTGATACCTACGTTCAGTCTATCTAATGTGTAAATAAGTCAGTTTCTCCGGGTGTCTCTGATAAGTAGTTTTTTACACCATTATATTTTTGGATATACATGTAAAACTTTAAAAAAAAAAGTCTACGGCAGAAATATCGTGACAATATATATATATATCAACCAACGGAATGAATGGAAAATTACTGTCATGTTCCCGACTAAGTACAGTCCGAAGAGAAAATAGTTAAACCTCCAACTTGTATAAAGTTGCTTATATATACAGTTACTTTATATTTTCAAACGGTGAAACTGGCTTTGGAAAATGCATCCTCTTCTAACTTCGTTAATAATACTCCGTTTGAAAATCCGTTTTAAGGTTGTTATGTAGTTTTATTTCAGTTGGTGTAAGAACTACTGATCTGAGTCCTTGTGAATATGTTTTCTCAGATAACTACCATTATGAGACATTGGTTAAGATTTAGATAAGAAATTTCCTAAGCTCATGACATTATACAACTTTGTGAAGACTTTCTTACTTTCTGAAATTCATAACACAGTTTCACCGCACGAACTTGAAAACCCAAGAGCAAACGCAACAGCTGATCTGATTTGTTATTAGAAGGAACAGGTACATATTGTAATCAAACGAAATATTATAGATAAGAATGAAATATCGTCCCTAATTTATACATACATATTCTATGTCTATAAGTATCATGTTCCATCTCAGTGGTCATGTTGAAGAGTACTCGTCGTGAGTGCGGGGTGTTGTCGGTACGATCCTAGGTCGGGTTATTCGAAAAATAGAAAGTTGGTAAGTGTTGTTTCTTGAGAGCTTTACGAATTTGAATTATGTCTGCAGGTAGGGTAACATGTGTTTCTGTGGACTGTTTCCTTGTAAACTAGTACGGTAAATACCTGACTCGGCATGTCGTCCGGGCCAGTACAAAATATGGTTCGTCTTCATATCACATCATATTCTCTTCCTGATATGTATGTGGTCTTACAAACCATGTACACTCAATTGGAAATTAACAAATTAAAAAAAAAAACAACGGAAAAGTTAATGGATAATTAGGAAATATTTTGGTGGATATTTGTATCATTGGCAATCATACCAGATCTACTTATTTAAAAAAAAGCATACCGAGTACATGCACACCAACAAGATATGATTCTACAAAAAGTTAAAAAGATATACATGGAGCAAGATGAAAAATTCATGTACATTTTAAAAATGGATACCATATATTGCATCCAAATTAACGAAGTTCAACAAAAAATGACACTTTGGGAAAATTAAAGAAAATTAAAGTCTTTCCCACATCGACAAATGTACAAATATTTGTCCATTTTGAACGTTACTAACTACATAACGCTAAGCGTTAAACAGAAAAACCTTGTACTTTATCCGGGAACTAAAAAAGTTAAACAATCAATGGTGGTGTGAAAAATAAAAAACAATCAAAACTTTGTCATGTACACGTGCATTGTTCACAATTCAACAATTCTAAAAAATAAAAAGGTTTTATCTTGAAAATTGGTAGGGGAGTTTGACTTACAAATCCTGTTCCCCAGTTTTATGGGAATTTCCCCCCGAAATGACAAAGTTCAGCAAGTGATAATTCTGTAAACAATCGAAATCCTGTCCACATGCAAAATTTCGGTAAATTGATAATTGATCTAAAAATTAAAAAGGTTATACTGTTCAGAGATATTTGATTAATAGAACACTGATTAGTTGATAATCTCTTGCTTTAAGTTCATTTCTAAATACATCATGAATATTCAGGACAATATCCCTATAACAGAGAGTTCACTAGAGTTCAACAACTAATCTTTTAGTGAAAAAATATAGAAAATCTTAATCCAGTAGAAGAGAGGGACATAGCTTATAAGCTGATATATTTCTAGCCGATTATAAATGTTATTAAAGATGAAAACAAGCAGTAACATAACATAGTCTGGTTCTTTTTTTATCGACTTCCTTTAGAGATAGCTTTAATTTCATTTTAAATGTTGCATTGTACAACTGCCAATAAACCTGACATGCAACTTCTAAGAAATGGTAGTAACAGCTGACAGTATTACTGATTTGAAAGAATATTGAAATAACAAGGTAAATATTTATCATTTATAATCAACATTTTTATAAGTGATTAACTATGTGCCAACACTAAGTGTCCCTATAATTATTGCATAAACTGTGACTTATCTGGTTTAACTCGTCATCCTTTATTATCTCCAATCCCGTATAACAAATTTCAGTTTTCGAAGAACAATTGAATTGTTGTATACCTATATATGATTGATATTAATTATAAGGTTAAATCTGTAAAAAAAATAACATTTAGTCTACTATAATACTTAACCCCTCTCTCCTGGGTATGTAACAGAAATCGGTCATCTACGTTATTTTTGTCTACCTTTACTCTTTCATACAAAATGTTGTCGAAGCTAGCAACTAAGCAAGTTTTCCGGTTTAGCAACACATGTGTGTAAAAGTAGGCAATTTGTTTGTCCAATCAAATCATACTTATTTGCCACTTAAGTAACTAAAAGGAATATGTGTAATTTCAAAAGTCATTTTCAAAAATCAGAAAAAGCATTACAATTTAGTGAATTAGTGATAACATAAACATTGTTTCAGATTGATTGTTTGATTTTTTGCTAAATGTCTAGAAACGAATATTTCATGTATGTTCAGGATGAAAAAAAAAAATCCAATAGGTAGCTTCTCCATTTTTGCACAATTTCAGTTAAAAGGAACGGAAATTCATGTAGATATGCAAATTCTTGTAAATCTCACAACTTATAAAAAGAATCAACCATTCACATTTTGGCAAATCTTTGAATTTTACCTTTAGCCTTTCGTAAGAGCATAAGAGTTGCAATTCTACTTGAACTCGCGAAACGATTTCAAAGCGTCCTGGTCACCATTTTCCAAAATGAAGCGTGCCCTCCTTGTGGATGCTAGGATGTAGGGTTACATGCATTTTGGAAATGCACCTAGACCACAAAAGGATAATACATCTGATCTGAACTGTAGACAAGTTCAAAAGCTATCACTCATGTATTATCATCAGTTGTAGATTGCGTTCTAGCAACTCTCGGACGTGGTGGACATCTTGTTGAATTAGGGCGTTTAAAGAAAAATTGCTCCTGTATATCCTGAGACAAAATCTATTTTTTACAAATGAAGAGACCTGTTTTTGTGTCGCGTCTCCGTCTTTCAAATAAAATCAATCAATATGGATTTCTGCCCTAAATTACGAATGCAAACTCTAGTCTGTTTTCCTCCCTCAAACATATTCCTTTTGAGTTAGTTTATGATAAATTCGGAACACAAAATGATTTCCGAATGTCCTTTCCGTCATTACCAGCGGTTTCGGATTGTATGCCCTATATTTCAATTTGACGCCAATGTGACTTGGCCAAGAACAAACTCGGTCTATACATAATCGTCCTCACACTCAGCCTCAAACTTCAGAATCGGCCTATAACGAACTCTGACTATTGAACGAATTAAGATAAGATTATGAAAACGGTATTCTTTAGTTGATTCGAAAAAAATGAAATCGGATAAATTTGTTATACAGTTTACAAAATTACAAATGGAAAACTTCAAACATAATTAATATATTCTTAGGAATATTTGTTTTCAATATTTAAAACTTATTCATATTTCGTATACACAATCTCGAAGAGAATTCGGATTACTTGTATATTTCATATCAAAATGTCAGGTTCGAGGGAATTTGTTTACTTTTATTAGTATATCTGGTTTGAGAGAAAGTATCTGTTTGGTGTGGATATTGAAAAATATTTACCCTCCATCCTCACTAATTCATCCGTTATCCCGCTGAACAGGTTGGGAACAGCCCCTCTTTACACGGAAACCCCAAATGTAGGGACAAACCCGCGAAACAGGTTTCGAAAAACCCTCGAATCTGGGGACCGATCTGAATCGTGTCATTTCATTTTTGTCAGCCTAAGAAGCGCATCATGCCAAGGAGAAAAGTGAGTACCTTATCACTTTCTGTTGACATTTATCATAAATATGTCTTAATTTATGGTCTAGTAACGCATAAACAGCCTGCTTAGATTGCTTATTTTTACCGGAAGTTTTTTTTTTGGGTACATGCCAAGAGTATTGGCATTGGTGTCAAAACCAAGGCCCCTCTAAGTAAAATCAAATATCACTGCCAAAGGCATATTACTCTGATTGAATAAAAGATTTATGGATCGATTACTTATTAGCTATTATTTAAACATACCTTTTCCAGTCTGCCAATATTTCTGCACACTCTCAGCCACTTTGCATTGTCTGGAATACCTGCTGGAATCCACATTTTTGTTTTTCAATTAAAATTTTCCAACACAAAATCTCCAACTTCTCCCTTGGAATCGTCTCCACTGACACTGTAAGATTCATTTCTTTCAATGAAGGCCTGTTTATCTTGCGGACATTGTACTCTTAAAAATGAATTCTCGAATTAATGTCTCCATGTAAAAGGGCACATTGAGACCAATGAAAAGCGGCGAAAACTTACACTTACCAGCTTGGATAGCTGTAGAGTTGTCACGCCTGGTTCCAGCCCTTAAATGATGGAATGGCAGACAGTAGGTGAAAAATACGCTTGACATGAATTTAGAATTGGGATTGGAAACTTTAGCTAGCCAGGCATAAAAACCTTCAAAAGTTGGTGTGTTACTAGACAGCACCTCAAGTCTGCAGTAAGGCTGCAATATATCCTGTGCCACAGCAAACATGAAAATTTGTAGAATTTGCCAGGTTTTGTGATGGTCTGAAAAAAAACCAACGTTTTAATAAAACAGTAAACACATATTCCAATTACACAAAAGATACCATCTTTAATATTAATGATACTTATCCCGCCTTCTCGGATAAAATGGTTGGTTGTCCGTCTTAAAAAAAACTGCATACTTATATGCGTGTTATGATGACATTGTATTTTGTTAATAGCTTGCAATGCTATATGGGTGTTTAACTGTTCAATGCCGTACGGAGTTCCATATTGTCACTAACGTTAACATCATTTGGTCTCTGGGGAGATTTGTCTAATTGACAATCAAACCACATCTTCTTATTTTCATTTCGAATACTGTATTTGGTAACATTCGAATATTTTTCTTACCTGAAGCACTCTGACAAGCCTGCAACGCCCTGATACAATTGAAACAAAGCATCTTGGCCAAGTCGATGATGATGACATCCCACAAAAGTTTCATTAACGTCTTTGACATGTTTATTTCATAATGGCTTAGCCTTGAAAAAAAAATCGTAAGTTATTTCCACAAAGGTGCATATTAGTAGTTTGTGTAATTCAGTACCTATCTGCATATTTTAAGTATTCGGGTAATCTAAAGCTTTTAAAGACAACTATCAACCAAAGTTCAAATGAAGTGGATATAAGCAATTATAGGCAACCTAACGGCCTTCAACAATGAGAAAAACCAATACCGTATTGTAGGCTATACACGGCCCCAACATGAAAAAGATGAAACAATTCAATAGAGAAAACTAACGGCGTAATTTATAACAAAACAATTTACAAAATGTTACCACTTTTTTTCAATATTACGCTGATAATATTGAAGAGACAGCATATAGTACATAATATACTTGCATAATGATGTATTAACAATACCTGGTAGCATCATCAAATAAGTATACTGTTGGCAGTCTGAATGCGGAATGTTGGTGCAGTGACTCCTTTCTTTTCTCTGCTTCTCAAATTCAGTCGGTACATCAAACTCCATTTTGCAGTTGCTTCAGACAAAATAGTTGTCGATGATGCGACTGCCTAGGGTGTAAGGAAAGCCATCACAACCAAGCATGGTCCATTTCCTATTTTAGTTGCCATTCTTTACATTGGTGACATTTATTATGTGATCAAACACATAAAATAATTGGAAAAAAAATGATAAAAAGAAAGAGAGAAACAGTATAACTTACGACTAAACATATCACTTGGTTTTAAACATATTACAGATTGGTATTAAAATATGTTGTTGTTGTCGATGTTGTATTTAACAAATATATAAGGAAGCGAGTTTGAATACTAGTACTAGTATACAGAAAGGCACGCAGGCCCTGTTCTACATTTGACACTCGTCATGTTAATCCGGTAAATTACGTTACAGCTCTTGTGACTATTTCGTAGGGTCAGCATATCATATTTAATCATTTCTTCGAAATATCAAGTATACATGTTCATTTCTGTATGATTTTAAATATATCTTTATCACTGCTTCGTATGAACATGGATTTTCAAAACAGGGTTCACCCATAGTAACAGACACTGTTTCTTTTGGGTGGTGTGCAGTTACAAATTTGTATCTAAAAAGAAAAGGCAAGAATTTTATATTTGATATCCGCAAAATGCTTTGTTACTAGGTAATATCTTAAAAGTGCATCCGTATGAATTGGTAATAAAATATGTTTTTATTTTGACATAAGTAGTACAACACTATCACAAACAACTTTTTATCAATAAGATAAATTTATATATACCTTTCTTCACTGTTGGTGTGACTAGGAATTTTGAAATTGTTGCTGGACTTTTTGTGAACCTCGTCCATTACTTCCTCACCATTCTTTTCCATTTGCATTGTAATAATTTTTAACTGTTTTTGGACAAAACCATTTCTGGAAACAAAGTTTCAAATTACTACTAAACTTAAATTGCATCGAAATATTATCATAAGATGTGTTAATATTTTCTAAATTAAAATTACTAAAGTTAATATAAAACATATTTAATAGATTAATTAACATTTTTATATGTCGTAATTTTTATCTCAACATTTTAACTGTACAAATATAATGTATAATCTACATTTCATGTTTTATACCTAAAGTTTCGGAAAAACAAACCTTGCTTGTCGAACTCTTTAACGATTTCATCTTTAGCCGTAATTTTTGCCTCTCTATCGGTCTTGTACCAATTCTTTGGCGAAAGGTTTTCTTCGTACTGCAGAAGTGATTGTCTGTCAGGAACCACATGAATCAAAGTTGTTATCACGCTGGTCTGAGATTTGAAGTTTGTAACTACTCTCCACTTACGTTGTAGAAACTATAAGATGAATTTGGTTCAAAATAATGCAATAATAGCAACAAGTGTAAATGTAACGGCAAAACAGTTACACTTATGAGTTAGCCTATTTTTAAAAATTTGCATTTATGTAACATGCGGTATTTTTCTTTTACAGTACTACAAATTTAATAGGCCCAAAAATTTAAAAAGATATTTTAACTCAACCAAAATATCAGAACACCATAAGTTATTTAAAAATGAATGGTTTGTGACAATTTCAAATATGATTGATTGTTTGTTGCTCAACGTCCAGTGGAAAATATTTCATGTATGTTCAGGACATATAAAGTATAATGAAAAGAAAGTCCAAATATACCTGGTTGTTGTCAAAAAATGTAACTACATCGGTTGTTTCTGGACATTGTATAGCCTCTCTACTTTGGTCTTTTATCCAGTTTTGTAGTGTTGTATAGCTACCACATAGAACCCCATAACAGTTGAGAATTGCTGCAATTTTACTACCAGTTTTGTAATAGGTCAGCAACAGCCAGAGGTGAAATAAACTGTGTGTTCCTAAGGTAATAGATGTTGTCAATACATTTTGAAATCTCAAAGTCGTTCTTTTCGTTGTCTTTCATGTCATGTTGGATACCAAGTAAAATGTTTAGTACGGGTTGGTTGCGCTTAGACATCCAGTCTGGAAGAATATGGAGTGTTTGTATAGATTATTTCTGGAAACACACATTTTGCTGAATAGAAAGAAACATAAATGAAAGAATTTTGAAATATAATAAGATAAGATAGCTTTCAGATATTATTGCCATACAATAAATTAGTTATTTTTCTTTATTTAAGTACAAAGCCTTATGCATTAATTGCCATCCTGTCTCCAAATTTGCATCAAAACTAAAAATTCTGTACCGCATATGTTATGCAGTGTTATACGATCCAAGCTGGTGTTAGACACCGAATCTACCTTAATTGAGAAGTCACCATATACCAGTAAATAAGTATGAAAATATGTTATTTTACCTGATACATCAAATGTTTGCAACAGTTGGTCATCTTTATAGGCGGTAGATATGGTTCTTGAGTCAGTTAAGACATCTTTAGAAACTGACTTTCCAAGTGCGTATGCTATACGTGCCATCTCCTATACAGAAAGACGACCACTGTCTTTTGCTGATAGTATCTCTTCTACCTTTCCCCCATGTCTTCTCTGGTCTTTTTTGTCGGTGGCTGGTCTAGCAAATAGTCATTACAGAACTTTATACAGCCCGTACAAAGAAATGTGGAGTGGTCGAAAATATCTCCGCGCTCAATTAGCTCATCTTTCACTGCCTTTCTGATGTTTTTAGCATTTACTCTGATGACATTCCCTATGACTCCATTCCTTACATACTCTTCGTGACTTTTACAGCTGCACCTTTTTTTGTCTTGAGATGACATCTGTAAATTTTTTAAATAATTATGAATTGAATACGAAGGATGTTTTACTTTATTTATCAAAATTTATAAAATGTCAATTAAAACCCATTTCCATGAAAGTACCGTGAACCTCATACATATTAAAAAAAAAGATATTCGATGTTGTAAACGGGTACAATAATAAACAGTACATGTATAGCTATTCGATATTGTAACTGATTTCATTTACACCATTCTTCAAACTTTTGAAAAAGTATTAACCTATACACGGTGCTTCAACTATAAAACATTCTTATTTTAGTTTAAAAAAATAAGTAAACTATATAAATTATAGCGAACATGGCGATCCATACTTGTCAAAGTATCACGATCATATTGCAAGATCAAATTCTATTGGCTAAATAAGTGATCATGTGCTCCCACATTTGTTTCAAAATGACGGATGACCAACAGAAGAAGACGGCTGTGTAAAAATTTTCGACATATCAAATGGTATTACTAATATTTTTAAAAACATAGATGGTAAATAATGAATGGTGCATGCCTACGGCTTTGCATACATCCACTTGCGCTGTTAAATAGTCATCTGACAGAAAAAATCTATCCATCCTTTTATACAGAATGTCAAGAATCCCTCGAAACCATGATTTATTTGCGTTTTCACTGAATTATCGTGCGTTCTACATATTATTTTGGCAGACCCTGTTTTCAGGAGTTAAGTAGACACTTCTTTTTGAGACAATCCCTCGTTTTAGAGACTATACCTGTAAAGTGGGGTTGTTCCAAACCTGCTGAAGTTATTAGAAATAGTCATTAACTTAAAGATTTGTTTAATGATGTTGAAATTTGGGAATTTTCACCGCCTGAAACTGCAAAAAAAAAGTTTTTTTATTTCGGAATGGGGTAGAATTTCAATTGCAAGTTACATCAAAACTAACCCTTTTAATCATACCTTCTCGCTCTTGGGGAAGTTTACAGAAGACAAGAAAAAAAAACCTGGTTTATAATAAACAATGTCTCATGTTGTTCATGATGTGCACATACCAAGTCACATTTTGTCTGATTGGAAACATTGACTCAAAGGAGCTTACCAATAGAATGTCAAGATATCTATGCAACAGAAGACAAGGACTTTAACTCGTTGCTACATGCTATTTTTTCACATTGAAAGGCTGTGGTAAAATTTTAATATCATAGAATAAGAAATTTTTAGGCGGCAAACTCATGCCTTTTAGACTCAGGCCTGCGCTTAATTCTATAGGATTGTGCCTGTACATGACTTGATTAATTATTTAATCAAAATCAAGTTTAAAAGTCTTGTTTGTGGGTACATCCTAGGAAATTCGACAATGAAATTATGTAATTTGTTCAAGTTAACGACTAGTTTTAAATCGTACTACGTGTTGTGAACCGCAGTCCTCGCAACTGTCGTGTTTAAAGTTCCTGTACCAAGGATATGACAGTTAATATTTTAATGATTTTATTCTGATATTTTTGACAATACTGTGCTGTAAGTTGTTAGGTTGCTGTATTATCACATGCATGTATATCTCCTTTTATCTAGTATTAGAATTGTGACTAGCTAAAATACTTTGAACTTTCTTACAGTGATAATCTCTATACTTTTACAACCCATTTGAAATTGTTAATTATTACATGTATTGATAAATATCTGCAAAGGATGATTGCTGCAAAATTTGATATATTTTGAGTTGTTAAAAAAATATTTTATTGATATTAATGTAAAAATCACAATAAAAATTTTTTTATAACATCTGTTCATCACTTTATCCAATGATACTGGTTTTCAAGATAATACCCATCAATGTTTAATTAAAATAAAAACACCTTATTACGGAATCTTCAAACAGTTTTGTTGGGTTAGCATGTGATCCTGGTTTTCAACATAAGACAATAATTTGCATTTAACCCCTTTGTATTTTGGTCGATTAGCCATGTTGGTAGATAGATCAGAACATAATTAACAAACTTTAAGGGATAATTCGTGTTGCCAATTTTCAAAAGAAACAGAGACTATTTCCTTCACTTCTATTGTGAAACAAATCATTTTAAAGTAATTTAGATGCAAATAATTTATATTTTTATCTAAGCCTCCATACACATACAAAAGATCAATGACAGATTGATTATTTATTTCATTTGTATATGATTGCTCTTTGAATTCTGACTGTACCACAAAAAAGTAAAAACGAGGAAGAATTTTCTGTGAGTTTTCTATTTTTCCTTTTTCCTGAATGTGAAGTTTAAAGAGTTGTAAGAAAATGTTAAATACGATAATTGTTAATGGTACTAAAATTTGAAAAAAAAAATCATTTATCAACAAATTCCTTGAATATTTGATTCCAAAAGATTACGTTAATGACTTACAACTATTTTACCATTTGACCATATTTTTTAATATGTCAAATTATTTATATCAATTTCAATTTACAGGACATAATGAACAATTTGATGTTTCTTGTCTTTTGTTTGGTCATTGTTGTTTACTCAAATCCATACCAGAATGGTGGACATTATACTGGTAAGTACGGTCTTAGCATACTTTACAGGAATACTTTGACATATTTTTGATCATTTGATTTCTTACATTGTTCTATACAAAGAAGTATGGACATTTTTTTCTGTTTGTCTTTATTCAAAACATTCAATACGGAAATATTGATGAAACCTTGTAGAATATTATTGTTTGATTTACATTATTTAATAATATGATAAAAAAAAAAATAACATGTTTACAGGTACATGTAAGATAGTTTCCAAATCAGTTTAGCCAAATGGTATTGTGTCAAATGTTGATTATTACATGTTCGCTTATCCATTTGGCTATCGAACCATATTGCTTTTTTAATACACCAATTGGAACGATTATAAGTGCCCCTCTCACAAAATATTTTTTTGACATAAAGCTTTATAAAAAGTTTTATTTTTACACAACACACTAGTAAAAAAAAACTTTAGTCTTAAACGGTCATTTTGATCTTTACCTCTGAAAATATTGAACCTAAAAAAGTTTTAATAGAGATTTCCAAGAAAATGACATTACTCGACATAACTAACATATATGAACGAATCTCGGCGTATTGCATTCTGAAAACTACTAAAATCAAAATTAAGTTTGAACAAATAAAAATAATAAAATCTGAAGCAAGATGATTTTCTCATTATTGATTTATAAGTAATAATGTTAAAACAAAAGTTTCAAACTCACTGGAATGAAAAAGGTGTACACGACTTACTTCTTTTTTTTATAGCATATTTCTATAATTGATTTCAACATTATTTTGTCAGAGGCAGAAATTCAGATCTCTGAGGCATCTTTCTAAAGAAATTTTTCATCTTTCCGTATAATATTATAAAATGGAATATATTAGGATGCATCTCAAAAAAAATATTACACTTTACTAAATCAGTTATTTTTTAATTTTAAAGATGCATGGGTTCTAAAAAGAGTCTAAAATTTATATAATTTAACGCCATTACTCACAAACTTTTTTTATGAAATGTGTGGCGTAAAACTTCTACAAATACGTCTGAAAAACGACCATGTATGGAATATTTATTTGCAGTTTTGTTAAGTAGGATCATTTTATTTCATGACCAACTTATGATAGGAAGGGGATATTATATTTTCTAGTCTGTGTGAGTCTGTCCGTTCATCTGTCCATTTTTAAATTTAAAACTTTTAAAATTATAAACCAAATTAGGGTTTTACCCGAATTAGGTGGTTTACTGAACATCAAAATGTGTAAATGTAAGGGGGCACGCTGTCTTACGGCCACATATTTTTGTTTTAAATGTTTTTAATATACATGTACATATATATGTATCTTCAATAAATTTGGATTAGCGTGTCGGTCAAGTACAAAGTTGGGTTCATATTCATCTTCCCGTCCTGAATATGCATATTCAAACTACATATGAAATGGACACTTAAGGTCTAACATCCTGTTAATACTTATATTTTACCGTTGCGCAAAGTCGTGATTTTCTGCATTGGGAATAAAAACATCGCACTGCGCATCGAAATCTTATTACCTTATCTTTATGCCCCACCTAGGGGCATTATGATTTTCGGTTTGTGCGTCCGTTCGTTCGTCCGTTCGTCTCTCCGTCTGTCGCGCTTCAGGTTAAAGTTTTTGGTTAAAGTTTTTGATCAAGGTAGTTTTTGATGAAGTTGAAGTCTAATCAACTTGAAACTTAGTACACATGTTCCCTATGATATGATCTTTCTAATTTTAATGCCAGAATTTTGACCCCAATTTTCGGTCCACTGAACATAGAAAATGATAGTGCGAATGGGGCATCAGTGTACTATGGACACATTCTTGTTTTGTTATGTATCTGACTTATGACACATGCACTTCAATGAGTTATGCAGTAAAATAAATTCAGTGATCCTCTATAAATTGTTTGTTAAAAAAATGGTTAAATACCAAAGGTTAATGTACTTCAAGGGATATGAAATATTTTGCCTGGAAATGTCTTTTGTATTTGGACTCATTTATTGTTCAGATCAAAATGGCCGTGTCAGTTCAATAGTGGTTTGCTAGTGATACGATTTGTATCTTGAAAGGAATTAATGCTAAGGCTGACATATTTATGAAAAATATCATAATATTATTGAGCTATGGTGCAATAAAACACAATTTACTTTTACTGGAATTTCGTCGTACACTATCATTGTCCTGTCATTGTCTGAACGCAATCTTTCTCCGAAATTAATTCTATCAAAACTTTTGATTTTTCAACCCTGTATACATGTACCACCATTCCCCATGTGAAATTGTAAAATCGTCTAAAAGAAATAATCCACAATGGTTTTCAATATAAAAATGGTAGCATACGCTATAATTTTATTACTTTGGGATACCATGCAGCATATTTTGTTAATAGTGAACAAAAGGGTAAAACATGCTTCACAGAGGAATAAGTGACCAGTATGCTGGAGTTTCTTATTGACAACATATTTGTTGAATTTGGAGGTAGACTTTTTCAACTAATTGTCGGCATTCCTATTGGAACGAACTGTGCGCCTGTCCTTGCCGACCTCTTCGTATTATCATATGAGTCGGAGTTCCTTCAGACACTTATAAAAAACAAGAAGATCAAAGAAGCCAGATAATTTTAATTTCACATTCAGATATATTGATGATGTTCTTTCCATTAACAATTCAAACTTTTCTGATTGGGTATCCTCCAGAACTAGAATTTTTAGAAACAACAGACACGGCTTCCTCCTCCTAATATTTAGACTTATACCTCGATTTTGACATAAGTGGTCATCTCAGTACCAGAATCTATGACAAACGAGACGATTTTAATTTTGAAATTATCAATTTCCCCCACCTTAGTAGCAATATACCAACTTCACCTGCATATGGGATATACATTTCAAAACTCATTCGGTATTCAAGAGCTTGCAGCTGCTACTCAGACTTTGTAAAACGTCACCAGTGTCTGAGCAGAAAGTTGATGAACCAGGGATATGTCAAAGAACGCTCCTCTCTTAGATTAGTTTCTGATCGAAGCATACAAACTGCAAATCTCGTTTGGTCGTATGAACTCAGTGCCCATAGACGAATGGGAACAAAAAAAATAAATTGGCGCAAACCTGAATTTTTTATATCTCTGTCTGTGTGTCTATCTGTCTGTCCGTCCGTCTGTTCGTCTATCCATGTGCTTGAAAGAGCAATTCCTCCTAAACAACCAGACGGATATTAATGAAACTATATATACAAAGTTGGAAAACACTCTATGTGGATGAGCATGTTACACATATTAAAGGAGGTAATTGAGTATACCTAATTCAATATTCTGATATTTTATTGCGGGGGTGTATCCCGATGTATGTTTACTCTGAATCTTAGTTTAATAAAGTATATATAATTGTCTTTTCGGTTATAACATTGAATTCTTTCTTTAATAGTTTAATTATACACAAAAAGTATAATTGTATTCGACAGAATACATACAACACAGCACAACAGATAATACTAAGCATCAATACCCGACTCCTTCAAAACTATTGAAGTACAAACAAAGACAAACATCAACGAACAATACGTGGTTTAGATAGCCTGACTTGGTACAGGCATACAAAGAGGCGGAGTTAAACTAGTTTCACGTGCGCACAAACCTCGCCTTCAATATATTGTAAAAATAAAACATACAATAGAAACAACATGCACAGTGCAGGTACCACTTTCTTAAACATAGAAATAAAAAACGACACATAATTTGGAAAGCAGGGACCAAATGAGCTCGCTACTGCAGGTAGCTATAAATTTTGGTTGAATACTGCCGATCGAGAAAAACAAAAAACCCAGAAACAACTCTATTAACAAGTTTCATGAAGTCTTGTTTTCAAATTGGCAGTATTTTGGAGAGGCCAGTAAGTATTTAAAATCGACAAACCATCGGAAGAATTAGTAATTCTAAGGAATCACAATACACAAAATAAATGTATCAACATTTTGTTTCTGGAATTTTTTCTTTACTTCTTGATATTTCAGAACCACAGAAGAAACAAATATTTTCATATCAAGCTCAGTTATGGTTTGGTTCGGTCTATATCTCCTAATGGTTCTCTTGTATTTCTCCAGCTCTTATCAATGAGTTTTTATGTTAAATAGTTTTGTCAAAAAAAGCAAGTGACTGACTGCTAGAAGATAGAAACATGTGAGCTGTGCTCAGAGGTTAATCAATAGAATGATTTGATAGAAATATGACCACTTACAAGCTATCAAAATGACAGTTATGAAAAAAGAGGTGAATTAAGGGGTTTATAAAAAAGGAGATAATGATTTCAACATAAAAATTCATTGCTAAGAGCTGGAGAAATACAAGAGAACCATTAGGAGATATAGACCGAATCAAACCATAAATATACAAGTGTTCAATAGATATAAATCTACAGTAGTTCATATTTGGGAAGTTGATGATTATTCTAATATTCAAACAGACGGAAAGAGAGGCGAAAGGTACCAAAGGGACATTCAAAGTAATAATTCTAGTTTATGAAAAAAAACATTTCATAGTTTTCGAAACTGCATGAAGCAGACAAAATCAAAATGTGTATAATTTTATAAATCTTGAATCCCCATAGAGTCCTCTTGACTTACCATCTTTTCATTTTGTGTTAACATTCATAACTTACTTTCCTAGGTAAGGTTAAAAACAAAAACATGGTTTTATTCTGAATTAATACAATTCAAATTGAACAAAAACAATTATTATACTTCACGTCAAAATACCAGATTTTGATTGGTTAATACGAGGGAGACAATTTAATCTATCCCATGGCAAATACTCTATCGCCCTTCACGGAGACGCTTGCTCAAGTGTGCGCTTTAATAAATACGGATGATATGTTATGTACAAGACGACATAGTTTATTACTTTGAATTTGAAATTTAATAGACAGTAATAACAGAACTTTCAGTATAATAAATTGAATAACACATATCTGAGAGGGTGATAGAGCAGATTGTTACCCCTTGAAAAGACATTGTCAACCTTGGCTTCGCCTCAGTTGACAATGTTTTCTCGGTGTGACAATCTGCTCTAATACCCTCTCAGCTATGTGTTATTTATATAATGTACACTGTGGAATTTAGCTTCTGAAATCATCAATAGTTAATATCTATTAAGGTGGACGAAGTTATGACCATATCAGTAGCAACTAACTTTGAGCACGGTCAGTTGTGATGGAACTTCTCCAAACAAATCTGATTGATGCACAGGGAGTATAGTTTCTTAATATATTACGAATTGCTGTGAAGGAATGCTGCTTTCTTACTGATCAAAATAATAATGATAACAGGCCAATCCTGAAGTATCCTCATGATACATGTGCAAATAATATTGAAGTAAATGAGGTTCCAGTAGAAAACCTATTATTTATTAGATTGTGCCACAAATACATTTGACTTGAAAAAAGAAGTTTTAAATGAATTTAGCTCCTAGATTGGTGCCGATATAAGTCTGATTTTGGTACATGAAATTCTTTAAAACCGTGTATCAGATTTCAAAAAACATCAGTAGAACAAATTGTATCTTCAATTAAATGTGACATCTCTTTTGAATTGGGATTAGAAACTTAATTGAAAGGTAACGAGAGAGTGAAATACGATAGGAAAAATTTGAGACAAATTTATGTGATGCATAAGAATCTAACACACATTTTTAGGATCCTAATGAGTATGAAAAGCGAAGAAGCAAATTTCATTGAAATTTGAACAATTTGTAAATAAAAATTTAGCAACTAGTTACATTTTAACCAATTATATAAATAAGGTCTTTCAATTATAGAATGGAAAATTAAGAAATACAACCATTATTACCTAGAGTGAAGGGACTATTTAAATGATGTTTATTGTTATTACTAAATAATAGCGAATCCAATCGATCATCGGTTAATACAATGTATTTTTTATTGCTTACTAAATTCTAAAAAGCTTTTAATTTTTTACCACAAAATCCGATTTCGTAAATAGATATTTTGTAAAATTAAAAGCCCGATGTTTGGTCAAAGATGAAAAAGGTATGCATGTTCGGAAAAACTGAATGCTGGATACAAAAAAAGTTCATCGCCTCATTAGTAAATCTAACCAACATGAACCCTAACGTCTTGGTGAGCATATTTGTCTTCCATTCTGAAGTGATATACATATGTATACATGTCCATATCTAGACTGCAATATTGACTGAATGTTAATTATCGATTTAGTTGAGATCATAGAAATCAATTGTCAACAAATAACCTCCCTCGTACGCATACATTATTATTTTATTTGGTAATAACTGAATTACAGGCACTAGACTTGGTGACGACACATAATAATCAATCTAACCTGTCGACGCACCTGGTCTCGCCGTTTTGGAGTTTATGTGATTCCCTCAGTTTTTGCTTATAACCTTGATTTATATCTTCTGAATAAATCTAATTGAACATCGGTAAACTAGTGTTGCCCAAAATCAATATAATTTATTATATGATAATACAATTATAAACATTGAAAGATTAATCTTTTGTCTTTCTTTTTGATTCTCATTAATTAATGGTGTAGCTATGTGAAAGTAACTAGTCCTGTTTAAATGTGTCTGATTGGAGGTGAAACAAATTTTTATATCGTGCTACCTCAAATGCTTTGCCGTCCTTTTAATACATCTGTTGAGAGTGTACTGATTGATATATTAGTCTAGGAAAAGTTAAAATTGAGCTCTGGCATAGCTTTCAGAACTTCGGGATACACTCAGATCGGTACTTAATGTGTTTATCTATATGATAGTTGTTTTCGTGATTTATCATAAAGCAAATGTTATAATAATTGTCAAATGTTACATCACCTTATAACACTTAGCATCGAATTTGTATTTACATGAGCAACCTGTCGATCAAGATCTGCTTACCCTTCAGGTACGCACATGAGGTCAACCCCAGTTTTCCATGAGTTTCGTGTTGTTCAGTCCTTAATTTTCTATGTGATGTTTTGTAGACTGCTATTTGTCTTTCGGTCGTTTTTGTTTTAATTCCATAGGGTTTTCATTTGTCTGCGACTTAGGAGTTTACATATCACTTCGGTATCTTGCGCATATCAGCTAATATTTACTGTTTGTTCTTATGTTATGCTTTTCCAACAATTTTCCAGGCCAGGGATGGTTGAGGGCTCACAAACATGTTTAACCCCGTCATATTCTGTATGCGCATGTCCCAATCTAGTAGTGATGTCTACAATATTGTTTTTTCGTTTACTTTTTTAGTAAACATCTTGACGTTATCTTTCTCTTTTGAATATTTCCACGTTTTGTCATCCTTAAACATTTTATAGCTAATTTTTAAGATATGAGTTTTTTTTTCTGAATGTTGAATGCCGTACGGTGATCTAGTTGTTCACGACCTTGTCATTCGATCTTTGATGATAGTCTTCGCATTTGCAATCATACAATATCTCCGTATTTTATGCGAATCAACACAGTGATCTTTCTTTACTAGGCTATGTTGGATGCTTTGTGGACGACGCCAACAGACTGTTAAAGCACAAGATACGGTTTTTACATCATATTTCATTGGCAAAATGCAGACATCACTGCTGGGGGTACAAGTATCTTGGATTACAGGTAAAACAGTACTTAAGGGTTGCCAGTCGATGCTTAAAATTAACATTTTACATGTGATTTGCTTTTCGATAGATGTCTAATAATAGTCAGTCCAAAGATATTTTTCTCGAGATTTTACCCAAAAAGTTTATAAAAGTGTTGAAAATTCGATGAGTCTACCGAAAATGACATAACAAAAACATATATTTTTTCTTCTTGTAAAAGACCAATCCGGTATTACGTGATGCTTTCAAGTAGTCAACATAATCAACTAGACTGGTAAAACTGTTAACACTCCCAAAGCATCTAATTTCAATCGGGATTTTTTTCATTATCATCAATCTTGTAAATTCGAATGTTGATATGTCTTTTAGTTGTGTTCATTGTTGGTTATGGTGTCGTATCCCTTTGTTAATTATTCGCAGATATATTTTTTTTCGATTTTTCTTGCCATAGTAAAGGTATGTTCAAATCTGACAAGATTTACAAATTGCCATAATCATTGGGAGTTATATTAATTGTCTTTTACATATAAAAATATGGGGATGTGGAATGATTGATGAATGACATACATTTGTTTATATTTAAGAATTAGTTCAAATGTGCATTCTTTTTACACTACTGATAACTTTCAGATTCAAAATAATGTAATGTTAATTTCTGTACGGTATACTGAAAATGAGGGTGATTTTGTCTTATATATTGTATCATGATTTAAATCTACTACCCGTATACTTCTTATTAATGGTTGCATCATTCAATTTAATTGAGTGGTTATTTGAAAGAGCTGTAATAGTGAAAAGACGTCACAACAATAGTTTAAATAAAAGACGCATGTCTTTAGTCTGGGAAAACATGACTTATTTATTTGTTGTAATTGTCTTTGAACTAGCTTTCAGTAACTACGACTCTTATTTCGGTGCTTTGTGACTATTGTTTTTATGTTAGTGGTTTTTCTGTCTCGTACCGATCTTTTGAGTGAAGTCATGTGCAACTGATGTTTACGGTTTGTTCTTATGTTGTGCTTTTACACCACTGACCCAGGTTTGGGGAGGGTTTAGCGCTCATAAACATGTATAACTCCTCAAAATTCTTTATATGTGCCTGTCCTAAGTCAGGAGTCTGAAGTATAGTGGTTGTCGTTGTTTCATGTCTGTCATATTCATTTTTCGTAAATGTTTGTTATAAATTAGGCCGTTAGTTTTCTCGTTTGAAATGTTTCACATATTTCATGTCGGGGCTTTTTATATACGACTATACGGTATGGGGTTTTATCGTTATTTAAGGCCATACGGTGGCCTATTATTGCTAACTACTACTTCATTTTAACTCTGGTCGATACTAGTAGCTGTCTCATTGGCAATCCTACCACAACTCCTCATTTTTATACAATTCTTAAAGATATCATTCGCCATCCAAGCTCATGGTATCTACTTAACGAATCAACGCGTATCAATGATTGTTTCTCCTTTATATCATTCATTACAAATGTATAATAGTTTGCAAGTATAACGTAAATACGCATTACCATTTTCTCTTGTCGAGAAATCCCTTTTACGACATATAAACGGATTTCCCTTGCCATTAGTAACAAGACGGGTTCCACTAGTGAAATCAAAAATGCTAAGCACGCTACCGAGGTTTATATCGACCTTATTATTTAGTTGCTATTGTTGTATTATGTAGATTTCGTTTTTCTCTTTTCCGTTTTGGAATTTCTGTCATTTCGCCACATTATTATTGCATACTGCCTTCTTATTTTCTTACAAAATTCAAGGGATTTTCAACTACCAACAGTTTTGTTCTTCCGACTTGTGCTCTAACAACCGTTAAGGGTCTTGGTACTATCTTCAAGAAAACGATGATTCTTGTGGTGGTATAAGTAATTTATAGAGTAAATTTGATTGCAAAACTTTTGACTATGTGCACTCGTATTTTAATTTAGTGTGCTGAATTTTTCAAGTTGATATTATACCGTTAAATCTTGTGTACAAAAAAGTGTATACAATGTGGTACTTTAGAATGAAATTATAAATTCTTCTATATTAAAGGTTGTGCACTCAATAGAGATCCAAATAGTAAACAATCATGTCGCTACAACATCTCAGCTTAAGGCCTCCTCTGAACATTTGATGGTTCCTTCTTATCTATGTATGAGCTACCTAAACTACAAAAAAAACGTCAAATATCGTTTTATGTCAGCTTTCAGTAGGTTTTCTACTCATTATCTTTTTGTGCTTTTAACTAGTTCCCTTACTAAAATTAAAGGATTTTAAAATAAATTAGGTCCTCAAATAGCTCTTTGAAAAATCTGATTGCAGATTTTTATTTACTGCGACTCATTTAAAGCGTTGTTCTGTAATGAATGTTGTGACTGTGACTTTGTCTACATGTCCGTGATTACGCAATACGGTGTTAACGTTGCTTCCCGTATTTTGACGTTGTGCGATAGTGACGTGAGAGAAGAGAGATGTTTGGAGAGGACTGTTTAGTTTAAAAATCAATTATAATAAAAGCATGACGATCTCAAAAATAAGTTTAAACATCGAATTTTTAGTCGATTGATTTCGCGGACTTTTTGTCGTCGCTGACTTTTGTGGTGCCACCTAATTATGTCCCCCTGCTATTGTTGCTGATAGAGCTTGACGACAACGGACGTTTCTAGGGAGTTGCTTTCCAACTGTGTTGACGAACGAACTGGATAGCTGGAATGATGTGAACTGTCGGAGTGTATGCCGTGTGTTTTTTGTATTTTATGTAACGTCTGTATAATACATGCAGTTTGATTAAATCGTGTTATTTTCTACAAAAATTGTGTTTATTTATAAATTATGAACGCTCGGAATTCTACGTTTACAACAATGAACAAGATAAATATACTAGATATACTTACTGACATGGTGATTAGATGATTACAGCCGTAAATTTTCTCCTTAACAACATCTATGTTCGTTTCGTCAATAAGGTTTATCGAAAGGTTGTATGTATTTTTATTGGCACCAATTGCATTACTTTAATAGTATTTCTATTTTAAACTCAGTAAATATTCGTCTAATTCCTAGTACTTGAAAAATTTAATAACAATTACCGATACCTTAATGTTATGTTTCCTCTAAATAATTCAGCACTCTCTAATCATACCACGGAAATGTTTCAGAGGATACTAACTGTGGGTAAATCTAACGTTAATAGCAATAATTGTACTTTTCTAGATTTTAATATTTCAGTTTAACACGAGAAAATCATAACAAAAATTTACGATAGAATAGGACTATTGTTCGTTCCTTTTTGTTTTGTTTATTTTTTTTTTGAACGGGGACGTTCCCATGGCCCTTCTTACGATGCGTTTATTTCCCTACTAGTTCTCTATGTTCGTGTCTGTAGTGAGGTTTAAGTCAGGATTTCTTTATAAAATTTTCTTTAAACTTGTACTTATTTTGTTTTTAGGAAAAAAGATTTGATTTTGAAGTTTGTATGTACATGTCGAATTCTTGTTACAAACGAGATAGCACATCCTAATTTGTATAGTTTTGGTGTTTATAAAGCAAAATTTTATACGGTCAATGTAATTTCATTGCTCTTTTTAAGAAACTTCTTAAACGATATCAATTTAATACCGTAGTAAGATCTTTGAATATTGTTTTATCGGTACTAACATTGATTTCATTTTTAATAAATTAAAACATTACTAAATATGTAGTACTATATATTTATGAAGACGATATTGAATACTTATATATTGCATTCCACACGGTTACGCTTTTCCCTGACTGTTTAAAATATCTTTACACTAAATCCGTTGGGTAGGTACTGATTGATCCTTTACTGTGGAAGAAGATGGTTTATTTAATAGTTATTATTTATTGGCTTTATCATGAGCTTTCAGCAACTACGAGTACTCTGAGATCGGTACTTTTTGTCTTTTGCACTATCTTATATTTATTGTGCTTCATGCCGATCTGATTAGTCAAGTCATTTTCTAATGATTTTTTCAAATTTTTACAGCTTGTTTTTTTTTGGCTATGCTGTTACACCACTTTTCCAGGTTAGGGGAGTGTCAGGTGCTCATAAACATGTTTAACTCAACCGCATTCTATATGTGCATGTATTTCAGTGGTATTTTTTGGTTTGCTGTCTGTCATATTTGTTTTTCGTTTATTGTGTTGTCATAAGTCTGGACTGAGTGGTTTTTTTTTTCACTTGTTTCGCATTTTGTCTTGTCGAGGCCTTTTATAGCTGACTATACGGTATGGGTTTTGCTCATTATTGTATTCCATACTGAATAAGGTATAATATAGATTTTCAAATCTTTTACAAGATCAATAAGATGTACAAAATGTCTATCAAAGAGACAAAAGCAACAGAAGATACCGTAGGGCAATCAAAAGTCAAAAGTCGACGACAGAAAATTGGCCAAAACGGAAAACTACGAACAAACAAACAATAATACACAAAATACTACATAAAAACAAACTTGAGTAAACTGAAGTGCTCCGAAAGGGCGAGAAGATCCTGTTCTACAAGTGACATTGGCTATTCCATTGAGATAAAAATACAATGATGAATCATATCCTGTGATAAGTCATCATCTAATAACGGATTTGTAAATGTCTCCTGTCGAATCTATCAGACATCACAAATACATAAATCATCGCAATCATTACTTGTAAATTCTCTAAACCCTAAATATGTCTTCTCAAAATTCAAAGTTTTGTTTTTCATTTACTTTTTGTAACACACATCCCTACATTTCAGGCTCGTGATTTCTGTCTCTGTGGAAACTCCCTATACAGGCCAGCGTATCCACAAGCATCCGAATTACAATGTAACTCTCCTTGTGCAGGGGAAAATAATAGGATGTGTGGCGCAGATTGGAGAAATTCCATATACAAAGGTATGTACAGAGGGGTACGCTAAGTTTGTATCAAAGTTATTCTGATATGTTTTCATTTGGTTTTTATCTACAATGGTTGATATAATATAGAAATATTGTCAACAGGACCGTTCCTGTACAGTAAAAGAACCAAAGCTTACAGGCGGAAGCGATCGTTTGTCTATATGAGATGTATTATATACATACGCAGTTACGTCCGGTTGGAATGAGAATATGTGATATCCGATTTTAGATATAATGCACTTTGAACGTGAAAGATACTTACAAACCAAAACTTCTGTTCATACCAAAAAAATCAAATTATGCTCAGTTGCAGCCAAAATTTGGCCATCCTTCATCCCAGTGAGCCCGGTTTGTAGAACTAACGTAATAAATGTCTAGTTCTATTTAACAACTATATAGTATTTTTTTTTCTTTTAACTAGTATGTCATGAATTGAAATTAACAAAAAGTTAAGACTTTTTAAAAACAGAAAGGCTAATGAGATACTTACCAAATTCCATAAAGATAGAGGTCAGAATATGATCTTTAACAATAGACAGATGTCAAGCTTCAAACCTACCTGAATCTAAAATTGTAAAAGTATTCAACAGAAATTATTACAGATCTGTAATCAACTAGAAAATGTCTAAAAAACATTAAGATATGACAAAAGACATACAAGTATGGATATACTAATTAAAAAGAATTATAACTACGACAAAAATAAAAGTTATATCAAGGTTATCAAAGGTTTTTTTTTTGGAAGCAACTGATAGTACATGCTAAGCAATCAATTCTAAATAAATTATGAATGGAACAGCAACTTCACGACAAACTAAAATAGTACGAAAGACAACTAGATTTATGCCTAGTTCACACGTACATTTAATTCGAATTGAATTCGAATCGAATGTGAATCGAATTCGCTAATCGCGTTCACACACTCTTCCTTTTTAATTCGAATTGATTCGAATTGGCTAATTCGCATTAACCAATTCGCATTAGAAATCAGTGTTTGTTGATACGAATTAAAAGTTAACGTCGTTCGGACAGTAAAGCAAATTTGACGCGTATTGCAATTCGAATTAGAATTAACGTTTGGACGTAAAACGATTCGAATGCGAATTAAACTAATTCGAATTAGTTAATGCGAATCGAATTCGAATTACGTGTGAACGCAGCATTAAAGAAACGGTGTTTGCGAATGCCAAGTGTCTATAAAAAAAACAATATCTCGAAATCGCCCTGAATCAAGAAAAACTGTGCATTATTATTAGAGTCCTAGCAAAAATGTTTTATCAACATATAATTCTTTACATGAAAGCTGTTTGTTTTGCGCCCTATCGTGATATTTTTTACAAGTGTGGATTCGCATGACGGGTGAAACGCAATTCATGCGATTCCTTCATGTTTTGTTATCTTGATTAGTATTTTGAAATGAAAGTTTTCGAGTTTTGAACATCGGTATACCATTTCGTCCTCTGAAATAGATATACATGTGGCTAGAGACTTTTTATTTTATCAAAATCTTTAGGTAACCAAAAGCTTTATAATCCATATACTTCATTTAATCTTACTGGAATGCCGATCAACAGAAATACTAGACGCCAAATATGTCAAATAGACATTATTGACATGAAGCTTAAGAACAACAACAGCAGGTTAAAGAGAACGGAGTGAGGATAACAAATCGAATGCAATTAACTGAAGTTTTTCATGTTGATGAATGAATAAACAGCTTTAGTTATCAACATTATATAACCAAAATGGTGTTCAAATAGTAAAATATTGTAATTCAGATGTTCTTTCATTTTGTACAGTTTGATTGCGTTAACAAAGAAACACAGACAGCATATTACAGATAAACTGCATCGTCGGAAATGAAATATCTAAATCATAGAACTTTATTTTATTATCATGTTATAACATGTAGAATCAAAATAAATCATACCTACAATCAAGGATTTAGTCTACGAAGAGTTTTGAATATCCTTTCTAAAATGTTGCTTTATGAGTTATTTTTTCTTGTAATCTTTATTATAAAGTAGCATAGCCTATCGTTTGGAAAGCCAAAGATATTACGGGATGCATTAAGAGATATAGAAAGAAAGATTATCTATAAGGATCTACAAAATCCGTTTCATAGATATAAGAAGACGTGGTATGAGTGCCAATGAGACAACTCTCCATCCAAGTCACAATTTGTAAAAGTAAACCATTATAGGTCAAAGTACGGTCTTTTACACGGAGCCTTGGCTCACACCGAACGGCAAGCTATAAAGGGCCCATAAAATGACTAGTGTAAAACAATTCAAACAGGAAAACTAACGGTCTAATCTATATAAAAAAACTAGAAACGAGAAACACTTATGAACCACATCAACAAACGACAACCACTGAACATCAGGTTCCTGACTTAGGACACAGGTGCAAACAAATGCAGCGGGTTTGAACGTTTTATCTGGCGCCATGTCTACGTTTCATTTAGCTAAACATATAAAATTATTAATTGAGAATTGATCACGATTTTCATGATTCAACAATTAATCAATAAACACCCAGACACATTTTTAAATTTAACATTAGATCGAATATATATAGTACAATATTATAACTACATAACATAGATTAATAGATGGAGATGTGGGTATGCATCAATTAAACATAAAACAAGTCAACGCCAAAAAAAGCCAGTTTTGAAAAACAACAAATAATTTTCAACAATAGTCAGATGACCATGCAATATGTCAGCTCTAAATGGTCCAGAGTCTATACAAATTATTAATAAATTACACAGAAACAATCGAAGATCTGCCATCAACACCAAATTCTCCAAATAGCAAAAAAAAACATTGAGACATGTCATCAGACAAATGGTGATTTACCTGAATTGAGACAGGTACATCAATATGTGGCAGGGTTACACTAGTTTTTTTTTTAATATCTTTTTAGTACATGATTCAATTATTATCTGACATAACACTAACGAAAAGCTTGATTTAACTCGTAATTTCCGGGTTTTAGCATTGAAATGATATTATTATAATTAAATGTTTCTTTTTAAGCATAAGGTGATAATATCAGGACCGTGTGCACATTTTAGTGTAAAGCGTTCAACGCTTCATTCAATAAAGGCTTCGGTTAACACTTTAAATCCTAATAAAATTACAAAAAAAAAAGAACATCAAAATCTTAAATAACGCGACAGAAGAGTATTTCAATTTGAATAGAGCGCTTTATATTTAACTCTATGAGAAAATATGAAGAAGTTGCCTTATATATTATGTATATGAATGACACAATTCAAGGGAATGTATTTGTATTTACTTTTTTAAAAACCAAGGCTAGCTTTTTGTTTATTTCGGTATTATAAATAGACGACAAAGCCTTACAATTCGACATTTTTTCGAGTAGATTCAATAATTAGGTATGTCTTAATTTCTTAAGAATACGACGCTATCATATCTAAATTTGTTAATATTTTTTTGGCAAATAAAATAAAATGCAATTCGGCTCGAATTCCATTCCTATACAAGTTATATTTTCAATTCTCTTTTGTGTATTAAAAAAACCACATGTTTCTTTAGCTAATATGTTCATAGTTTGGTTAACTAGATTCTATTAAATTCTTAATACCACAATTGAGACGTCCGGACAAGCCAGATTGGTTAACTTTCCTTAAATATCTGACCTATCAAAGACTCGTACCGTATAAAGAACTTGTTATGGACAATTGAACACATTCTACATTTGAGATATGAGTTGAAAATGTTTCTGGTAAATGGGGTATCGCCAACTTCAACCTGATCCCTATGTTCAGTCTATCTTATGAGTATATAAAGCAATTTCTCCGGGGTCTCTGATATGTAGTTTTTAAAACCATTATATTTTTAGATACACATGTTGACCTTTAAAACATTCCACGACAGGAATATCATGAGTGACGTTGTGTTATATGTTTCGATCATTTATCCACTACAAATATGTTACAGTATAAAAATCTTAATAAAAATATCGAACTACCAGGTAAATTAAAAACTGAGAAGCCATAAAACCTGACAAAATAAAAACGTTAGACTATATGTATCAATCAACGGAACGAATTGAAAATAACTGTCATGTTCTTGACTTTTCCGATGAGAAACTAGTTAAACCTTCCACTTGTATGCAGTTGCGTATAGTTCCTTTATATTGACAAACGGTAAACTGGCTTCGGAAAATACATCTTTTTCTAACTTCGTTAAAAATACTCCGATTAAAAACTGTTTTAAGGTTGTTATGTAGTTTTATTTCAGTTGATTTAAGAACTACTGCTTTGATTCCTTTTGAATGCGTTTTCTCAGATAATACCCATAATGAGACATTGGTAAAGATTTAGATTAGATATTTCCTAAGCTTATGACATTATACAACTTTGCGAAGACTTTATTACTTTCTGAAATTCATGACATAGTTTCACTGCACGACCTTGATAAACCAAGAACTAACGAAACAGCTGTTTGTTGTTATTAGAGGGAACATATACATATTGAAAGGAAGATTATTAAACGAAATATTATAAATTAGAATGAAATATCGCCCCGATTGTGTAATTTATACATACATATTGTAGGTCTATAAGTATCATGTTCCACCTCAGTGGTCACGCTGTAGAGTACTCGTCTTGAGTGCGGGGAGGTCGTTGGTACGATCCTAGGTCGGCTCATCCGAAAAATAGAAAATCGGTATGTGTTTCTTCTCGCGAGCTTTAGTTCAAATTATATCTGCAGGTAGGGTAACATGCATGTCTTCATGTGGACTGTTACCTTGTGAACTAGTACGGTTAATTCCTGACTCAGCATGACGTCTGGTCAAGTACAAAGTAGGGTTCATATTCATATCACATTATCATATTCTCGTCTTAATATGCATGTAACATTTGTCATGAACATTTAATCATCATCATCATCATCATCATCATCATTAAAAGTTCAACAACGGAAAAGTTAATTGATAATTAGGGGGAAAATTTTCAGCACTTGCCGTTAATTGCTGAGTGTCGTATTTCCTTTCTCGTTTTTTGTTTTAGCATAAATCAGGGTCATTAGTTTTTTTTCTTTTGAATCGTAGCTTATGGTTTATAACAGCGAACTATGCGGGTTTGCTCTAAATTTGATTGTGTGATTGATTAATATTTGATATTTTCTTAATGTCCAGTGACAAATATTTTGTGAATGTTCAGAACTAGCTCCATGGTTGAAGGATGTACGGTGACCTATAGTTCAGGAAGTGATAATTGTGTAAACAATCGAAATCCTGTCCGTTTGCAGATGTCTGGTAAATCGACAACTGATCTAAAAAAATGTAGATTTTTCAGAGATATTCGATAAAAGATTAAAGTAAGTTGAAAACACTTGCTTCAAATTTTTTTTCAGATATTTCATGAATATTCAGGACAATAGCCCTATAATAGAAAGTTCACCAAAATTGCATGAGTTCAATAATCAGTTTTTTGTGAGAAAAAAATAAAGAAAATCGTAATTCCGTAGAAGAGAGGTAAATAACTGGTTTGCTGAATTTCAGAAATTATTTCTCGTGCCGATTATAAATTTTATAGATTTTAAAAGACAAAAAAGGCAACAACAGAACGAAATCTGATTCTTTTTTATCGACTCCCTATAGAGATAACTTCAATTCTAATTTCTATGTGCTACATAACCAGACATGCAACGTCCACGAAATGTAAGTAACAGCTGACTGTATTACTGATTTGAAGAAAACAAATATAGAAAATAACAAGGTAAATATTTATCAATTAGAAACTGTATTTTTTATAAGTAATTGCGTAATCGTGAAAGTATACGCTTGCCAAACCTTAGTGTGTCTGTTATAATTACCTACATTGTGACTTATCTAGTGTCACTCGTTAATATTCTTTATTATCTCCTATCCCGTATAACAAATTTCAGTTCTCAAAGGACAACGGAATTGTTTTATACGAATATCTCTGAGACAAATATAAAATTTCTATCAATTTTAATGTGAAATCTGTAAAAAAAAAATAAGTTAAGTCTTCTTTACTACTTTATCTAAATTTCCTGATTATGTAACAGAAACACTCATCTACGTTATCCTTTGCCTTATCTAGATAGATATCAATGGGTAATTTCAATAGTCATCATCAAAAATAAAAAAATAAAGCGTTACATTTTAGTAAAGCAGTGATAAAATATCCACTTGTTAAGTTTGATTCACGGTTTGTTTAAAGTCTAGAGAGTCAACTTACATTATAAATTAAACACTGTAAGTATACATGTCTCGTTTTTGGGGGAAAATCTATGACAGACAAGAAAATAAAAGGTATATCAAAACACAAGAAATGATTACAGCTGTACAGGATACTAGTATAGAGTTATCAAATCTTGTCTATTCTGATTGGGAACACTCATTTAATTCAAAGGAACATTTCAATATTTTTTTCAAAATTTCTGCAAGTAAAAAAGACGAACTTCTGCTCTTTGTGACAGGTTATTTAAAATTGTTGCGAGGCTTTGGTATTAAAGATGTTGAATTAAAGATTTCAATTTTGAAACTACAAACTTAAATTCATAAATTTTAAGAGAATGCGCTTGAGTGTATTTAGACATTAAATGAAGTCCGAGATTACACACAAGTCTTATCTGGGTTTTGTATAAGATGCATGGTCGGTTGGAGCTTGGAAGACTTGTCAAGTGTGTGAATTCGGAATATGGCTTGTGTATGGCACATTTTTGGTTTATCCTTTGTGTTTGCATTTTGTTTTGTTGTTGTTATTTGTTTCTATTATCTTGTTTTAGCTTATATATGTATGTGTGCTGTAATAGTTTGCTTTTGGGTTTTTTGGGGTTTTTTTTATAGTATTTTTTTTTAGGGTTTGAAGTTGCGGGAACAAGGGTTGTTAAAAATTGACAGAGAAATAACATAACACAAAACTATTTGAAGTCTGAAATACAAAACTGTTCGGAAGTGTAAAATAAAAACGTTTTTCACTCGAATTAGAATGTAAAACAAAATGTTTTATTGACGAATTTCTTGAATATAAGAACCAAAAAAAAATGCGTAAATGACAATAAATTATCATATTTGTTAATGTTATCAGTTTAAAAGGAACAATGAAGAATTTGATGCTTCTTATCTTTTGTTTGATCATTGCTGTTTACTCAAATCCATACAGAAATATTGGACACTATAAAGGTTTGTACATTATACACATACTTTACTGTAGTAACATGACTTTTGTGAAATCCGTAGGGCTAATATTGCCTGTATTTGTTTCATTCACAGAGTCAAAAATTGAAAGTTGGCATATCCTACTGGAAATTTAATATTAAAGAGTCTATAAAACATATTTAAAATTAAAAAGCTAAAAAATGAAATTAAAATAAGTATATGATTTTCAAAATTATGTTAATCTTATTGATAAATGAACAAAACAATATAATCTGGATACTTCAGCGCAAACAGGGCACTTGTGATATCACAATGCATGATAAACAAGCTCAGTGAAAATTGCATATTTGACCTAGAAAAATGCCATCGTACATATACTTTTTCGACCAAATAGAAATGAGCAAATTTAAAGCTTTACCTACCCAAAAAGATATTTAAACAAATTTTAGAAAAAGCTCATCGAAGATTAACATCATTATAAAATAAGTTTTGTATCAAAATGTCTTTGAGGGAAGCATTTGCTCATAGTTAAATACTGATGGCTTGCTCTCAAAATAGGTTATTTCAGCAGTTTTTGAACATGCACACACTACTGTTGTCTTAATTTTGTACTAAATTGAAGAAGTGTATTGCTACTATGTAAGATAAAATTATTTTTTTGTTAATATTTTATAACTTTTACAATTATTCATATTCTTTTTCTTAATTTCAATTTGGGAATTAACAGTTCATGTATCTGATGACAAATCGGATTTGATATTTAAACCTCCGCTATATCTGTCCTAGATCTAAAACTATTTATTAACAATCAGCTTTGGATATGAAGCTATAAATAAGTGTAACACCCTCACAACTTTAACAAAAACAATTAAAAATGTCAGATTGAACTTCCAAGCATGCAACAAAAACGTATCAATTCGAAACAAATATACGCTTAAAACTTACCTACCTAAGTCTACCCAAGTGTTTCCAAACGCAGGAGGTCAGTTTGCTCCTCTATATTTGGCTCTGTTTCCTCATTACTAACTACACTAACCTGATTAACATTACTGTTTGCTTATCGTATAAGTGTAAAAAATATATATATAAATGTTTAATACGCGTTTAAATAGTTATGGAATATCAATATATAATTTGACTTTGATATTTATATGTCTTCAAAAATTGCCTCTCGCAAATTTAGGAATGTCCGAGAATGTTCATTCATCTATAAGATAAGAAAATATTTTTATTCCAAAATTCTTGAAATATATGGTATTACAAATTAGGCTGGAATAATTTTGATATTCTTCCTATTAATAGAAGTCCATTTCTAGGGACTTCTGGTATTAATTATGCTTGTATAGGTTACATATTTTTGGTGGATGATTGTCTCATTAGCAAACATATCGCATCTCCTTATTTTAATATGTATTACGATAATGACCTTCTTAACTAGGTTATGTTGGATGTTTCATCGACGACTACAATAGATTGTTAAAGCATAGGATAAAACCCTTACATCAGATTACATTAGAGAAATGCAGACATCACTGCAGGGGATACAGATATCTTGGGTTACAGGTAAACAATCACTTACAACTTGCCAGGCGATGCTCTAAATTAACAAAGTATATGTGGTTCGCGTTTTTAGTAGACCTGTTATAATTGTCAGTCCAAACATGATTCATTATCGAGAGCTTCAACCGACAAATTAACCAAATTAATTGTAAGCAGATTTAGTGTGGTCTAAAAAATCAAAAAAAACATCTAGACGACAAAAATCTCTAGAAGGACAGCTAACACCATGGCCAAAAGACAAAAATCATTAGAAGGACAGATAATACCATGGCCAAAAGACAAAAATCATTAGAAGGACAGATAATACCATGGCCAAAAGACAAAAATCATTAGAAGGACAGATAATACCATGGCCAAAAGACAAAAATCATTAGAAGGACAGATAATACCATGGCCAAAAGACAAAGATCGTTAGAAGGACAGATAACACCATGGCCAAAAGACAAAAAATCATTAGAAGGACAGATAATACCATGGCCAAAAGACAAAAATCATTAAAAGGACAGATAATACCATGGCCAAAAGACAAAAATCATTAGAAGGACAGATAACACCATGGCCAAAAGATAAAAATCATTAGAAGGACAGATAATACCATGGCCAAAAGATAAAAATCATTAAAAAGACAGATAATACCATGGCCAAAAGACAAAAATCATTAGAAGGACAGATAACACCATGGCCAAAAGACAAAAATCACTAGAAGGACAGGTAATACCATGGCCAAAAGACAAAAATCACTAGAAAGACAGATAACACCATGACCAAAAGACAAAAATTCAAAATAGTCAACAAAACACTACATAGAAAGCTAAAGACTGAGAAAGAACCTTACCAAAATTCAGGAGATCTTAGTTGCACTCGAAGTCAATGCATTTTCGGGTTTAACACCCTTCTCGTTACTCGTTTTAAAATTCGGTTTTTCAAAGTCGATAATAAGGGATACATTATTATAGGGTATTGGTAAAGGGGCAAAAGATATCAAGGTAACATTCAAACTCATAAGTCGAGATAAAGTGACAATGTTATGGTAAATTGATAAGGAAGACGAACAAGATACAAATAAATTCACGAAACACTGTATAAAGACAAAAGACAGAGCAACATATGAACCTCACTAAAACCTGTGGTTGATATGAGGTGTTCCGGAAGTGTAAGCAGAATCTGCTCCACCACGAGTGGCACCCACCATGCCATGGTAGATGCATCATTTGTTACCCTGAGATATTACATAATTCGTAAAACTTCGAAACCTGTAAACTCTCTAACCCGAAAGCATAACCGACTGTGAATGTTTAAAATTTGAATACGAAGTCTTTCAAGACAAGGGATAGAAAATGTCATGACCGAAAAAAAACCAAATTTGACAATGCAACTTTTTCTTAAAATTGGGTTCTAAGAAATATTTCCAGAAACGGATGGTGTTTAATGAATATTTGTAATTGATAAAAAAATAATTACACTAAAATCCTTGATGGGAGAGTTAAATCTTCTGTAAAGTTTAAATTTAGGTTGAAACTGACCTCGAAATTTATACAGTTGGTAGGGTTGGTACAATCTTTTGAAAATATTCCTGAAAAATGGCTAAGTTCCAAAATCTGTAAACACGGGACAGGCCAGGATCCTAAAACGACTCTGAAATAAAACAGGTGCACAACTTCTATATGTGTGCAATCTGTCGATGAAGTTTCAGGTATATTAGTTGATAAATATAAGAGGAGTTGATTACACAAAATTGGTTACGTCTTTTCAAAATTTTTCTAAAAATGACTATGTTCTATAAATAAATCCTCTAATATTTCAATAAAACTGGTAAACAACTTCAATATTTGCAAAATTTTTGTGTGAGTTTCAGGGATCTGGATTGAAAACTCAAGAGGAGTTGATAACATAAAAAGTTTTGCAGCTATATTTGTGGATCACGGGAAAATGTCACTTTGTTTTCAAAGTTGCATATTATATTATAGGACACCGTCAAATTTCTTTAACGCTGTCATTTAAAACTTCTATAAAACCGTTGTTTTCCGTTAAATAAGTGTTCATCGATCAATGAAACATTTTTCCTGAGTGAGGATCACCTTTGCGAAATCAACCAAATACATTTTATTTATTTTCTGGCAAAGGAAGACATTCAGATTTAAGAATTTTGTTTAGTGTGGAGTTATGGCACAACATAAGAACAAAATCTGAAAATCAGTTGAAAAAGGCTGAACTCATCAGATCGATACAAAGCAGAAAAACAACTAACAAATACACAAACCGGACGTGGCAGGGTATTTATACATCCCTTACAACAAAAAAGACACAAAGTACAGATCTGAGGGTACTCGCGAGTTACTGACAACTTGTTCAAAAACACTGGACACTTTTAATTTGCAAAACACTCATTTGCAAATCCGCCGCCGCCTCTCCTTAGACCTACAGTGTCGTGTAAATAACCAAAATGTGCGGAATTACATGGGATTCAATAATTTCATTGCTTTTCTGCTGTTATTATTATATATATTTTGTAATTTGATTTAGAAAAACATGGGATTTTCAATATCCCATGGGATAAGGCAAATCCCATGGGATTGACCATTATCCCATGGGATTTTGGTTAAATCCCATAGGATTTTTTTGGGTCCCATGGGATAATTGTAGTCCCATGGGATATTTGTTGTCCCATGGGACTATAATTATCCCATGGGATTTTTAATATCCCATGGGATTTTTAATATCCCATGGGACAAAATAAAATCCTATGGAATTCAAATTATAAATATACAGTAATGCATATGTTAAAATGAATTCTGTTTGGTAGTAAAAAGTTTATAATATATATATGAGTGTATTTTGGTTTTTTTTCATTTTGTCACAAACATGTTTTTAATTTGTTTATATGACAATAAAGATTATTATTATTTTGGAAATATAATAATATTTAAAGTCAAAAAATAAAATCCTTTAACTGAAATAAAATGATGACGTCTTAATAAAAGAAAAAAATATTGATTTGAAATCTTTGTCTTCTTTGTTTTATTATGAAAAATAGAACTGAAAAAAATATTTCATATTCTGACTGAATAAATTGACAAAGCACAGTTAATAGTTTACTCTTTTCATGAGGTAAAGTTTTCTTTGTTATAGTTCCATTGCAATACATGAATATGCAAACGATTTGAATCTTATTCCTTTGTGGTGTTCATAATATTACATTTATATTTGTAAATTTATAAAATAAACACTTTTCCTGTTAAGTTTTAGTTTTCTTGTTTCAGCTTGCTATGAACAATTATTAAGTCCACTATATAAGAGTCAAGTAAATAAATTATTTCATCCACTAGAATATTCCTACAATTCTTAGACAAAACATTTTTGCAATCTGTTCTTCAAAAATCTTCCTCCGTACATCTTTATTGGATGGAGCGATTTAAATGAGTGGACAAAGCAAGTTCATTTGGACAACAAAATACTAATATATTTTTTCATTCCTCCCTTCTTTCAATTGATAATTACGTTGTTGCATTTACATGATTAAGTTCTTGAGCATCTATGATCATGATGATATGACTCCTTTTTGTTTATAGTCATTATGTTGAAATTTCCTTTTTCTTATGTAGGAAAAAACACATTCCATTTCAAATTAATAAAAAAGTCACACTATGTAGAAAAATATCAACTTTAAGTTTGCTGTTCAGTATTGACCTGTTGAATGATGATCATGAAAACCAAGATGTCTGACCTACAAATACACAAAACTCAAAAATTATAAATTAAGAGAAATACAGCAATAAAATGGCTATTTTATCATGTTTATGTACATTTTGATAAAAATTTCATTTGAATATTTAAAATTGTAAGAACTCTTATTTCAGTGCTTTGTGTCTATGGTTTTCATATTAGTTGTTTTTTGTGCCTTGTTGCAGTCTTTTGAGTTAAGCCAATTGCAAAAAATGTTTACAGTTTGTTCAAATGTTGTGCTGTTATTAAAACCACTGTCCAAGGTTAGGGGTGGGTTGGGTGCTCACTAAATGTTTATTTTATTAGTTGATATTTGCTTTGAATTAGCGGTCAGTAACTGTGAGTACTAATAGATCTGTATGTTGAGTCTTTTTTGTTAAAGGGAAAGAATAAATTTCCAGCCACATCCGGTCTGTGTTTTTGGTAGCTGTTTTTCTGCTTTGTTGCATTCTAATGAGTTATTAAAATTGAGAATGAAAACGGGAATGTATCAAAATAACCTGACCCAAGAGCAGAAAAAAACCCTTTTCAACTGATTTTATAGTTTTTATTTTTATATGACACCTTGCAGTCATTCCATACACCAACAAGTAGACATATGCTTATAATATCTGATAAAATGAATAAAATGCTCCGCTGGGCGCAGCTTGATACGACCGCAGAGGTCTAACCCTGAACAGTTGGGGCAAGTATGGACACAACATTCAAGCTTGATACAGCACTGAATTTGGATTGTGATTAAATACTTGACACAGCATAGGTTTCTGACACAGAATGAATGTGGTCTAAGAACTTAAAAATTTTTAATTTACCTATTCAAACCATATCATTATTATTTGCTTTTATAGATAAATCAGAAATAACCAATTTAAAATAGAAAATTTTAAAGAAAAAAAAAAAGGAAAAAAAGGGGGAAAAAAATCCCCCCCCCCCCCAATTTTTTGAACCCCCTTATGATTCATCACCCCAAACTCAATCCCAGCCTTCCCTTTGTGGTATGGTACCTTGCAGTACAATTTCAGAGAGATCCATACACTTATACACAAGTTATTGTCTGGAAACTAGAAAAATGCTTGTTTTTTTTGCCCCTTTTTGGCCCCAAATTCCTAAACGTTTAGGGCAATTACCCCCAAACTCAAACCCAGCTTTCCCTTTGTGATATTGAACCTTGTAGTACAATTTCATAAAGATCCATACACTTACACACAAGTTATTGTCCTGAAACTAGAAAAATGCTTGTTTTTTGCCCCTTTTGACCCCAAATTCCTAAACGTTTAGGG